TCATTTGTTGCTTGATTTCTTTTTTGCCTGTTACTGATGACTTTGAAATCTTCAGTATTCAGGTTGAATTTATTATTACCATCACTTGGTTATAATTAAAAATATTACAAGCAGAAGCAAGAAAAGTATTCTTTTCTCTCCTTTGCTTCTTTATTGTCAGGCAAAGCTTCATTAGTGCAGGTCCTGACCCTGTCACCTAGCACAGAGCCTAATATACTTAAAATAGGGGCTCACTGATGATGTACTAAGTAAATGAGCTGAGTTAGCTTCCTAGGGGGATAATCTTTGGCATATACCACTCCAGATTGTTGATAGTGACCAGTATCCAATTATCCAATAATCAAGGAAAGTATGGACTTGCTTGGGCTTTTGTTATTAATCTGTAATAAACAATTTCATATCTTTACACCACATCACCATACCGTCTATGTATGGCTAGAATCTCCATCTCTCTCTCTCTGCTAAACCCGTAGCTCCTTCCCACAGATTCAGAGCCTCTTTACAAATTTATAACCCCTGACTGACATGGAATAAACAGTTTCTCATCTTTCCACTGTATCTTTGAAACCCATGTGAAATTGTTCACTACAGATTAGTGAGTAAGCACAAGTAGCCCTGTGCTTACCTGGCTTCCTGGATAAGCCTCCCATGATGGTGCCTTTTTAGTGCGTTAGCTTTGTGGATGGCCAAGGAGTTCTTTGAGATACTGCTGCATATTGAAACCAAGAGCTAGACTCCTCATGTTGTTCTAGGGACAGAACCTAACAAGATCCCTCCACCCCCATAGCTCAGGTGCTCTCTTCCAACTCTAAGCTGGCTTTGTAAGTCTGTCTTGAGTTGGCGTGGGGAACCACAGTACTTGTGGGTTGTTCTGAGTGAGTAGTGTGTGTCTGTTGGGGTACACACGTGTGCGTGTGCATGCTCGCCTAAACACTTGCGGGGACTGTGGGGAATTCTTTCGTGTTTGCATCAATTGCCCCTTTCTTCTTTATGCCCTTGTGGTTGGTTAGGAGGCCAGAGTGCAAAGGGGCCTTTGGACTGGGCACATGGCCCAGGCGCGCTGGCATTCAGTGGCCCATTGTTTCCTGCCCCTTATGTGCATGAACAGAGCACTGGGACTGGCACAGCTGTTTTCTTGGGAACCATAGTTTGTCTTTGCAGCAGCAACAACAGTAGTAGTAGCAGCAGCAGCAGCAGCAAAAGCCTGAGGCAGCACATTCTGCACTGGACAGGACAGCCATTCATTCTGTCATAGAGCTGCAGGCCCTGGGGGCAGAGTGGCCAGAGTTTCACTTAAATGTCTTGATAACTGGGGTGACAGCAAAGGAGGCTTCTCCCTCAAGGCAGGTTGGGGCGGAGGAGGATGCTTAGTGGTGTCATCTCACAAGTGAACCAAGTGGCAGGAGGTATCTTTTAGTGAAGACTTTTCTTTTCCTGGCTCAGGGGTGGGGCTGTCACTTTCTCAGTTGCTCTTGTCCTCTGGGCTTACTGGCAGGGTGTGCTCATGGGATAAGGAAAGTGCTTCCTCTTCAGCTGCCTAGTAGAGGAGATCTAGGAAGCAGGGAAGGGGTCCAGGCTGGGTGTGGGCTAGTTGGAAACCCCGGTGAGCTTGTGACTCAGCGGGCTGGTTCAGACTCAACTCAGGAACTGAATCACCCTCAGCTGCCAGGCCAAGAGGCTCTTCCAGTGGCGGGAGCCTTCATGCCTACACTGTACTAAAAAGTGTCCAGAAACTCCACACTGGTGTTTGTATTTCTCTTGCTTTCCTGCTCCCACTGCTCAGCCTCTTTGAGAAGCCGGTTGTGACTGTAGAATCACTTGACCCATAGCTAACCTCTGGTGGGTTTCAGAAGCAGTAAATCACACAGGAGGACATTGGTCATCTTTCTGCCTAGGGGCAGCTGGTGGATTCAAACTGTGTGCCTTTGCACTGGTAGTGCAGTTCCTTACCACTGAGTCACCCAGAGCTCCCTTTTGAGAAAGCAGGCAATCTTCAGTCAGCTTTAGCTTGATGCCGATCTCATTGCATACCCCTTTGGTTAATTCCTTAATTCTGCTTGCCTCCATTGTCTCACCTATGCAGTCAGGAGGGTTGGAATTCCCTTTTAGACTATTTGTGAGAAGTAAGCAGATGATGGATGTAAAGGACCATAAAAGGCCTGAGGATGGGATGTAGTTGGCTCTGTGCTGCCCCCTTATTGTAGCACCTGGAAAGCCAGGACAAGTCTGAATGCTTTGGCTGGATATGCTCACAGACCCTCTAAGCACCCTGTGAGCTACTTGTCTCTTACAACGGGCGTGGCCTCCTTCTAGAACTTCATGGGCATCACGGGAATCTGTCCTAGCCCTCTTGTTTCGTTTTGTTTTTGGGTTGGGGTGGGTTTCATCCTTTCTTGCGTGTTCCATTTTTGCATTTCTGGAGATTAAGTTGTGAATGAGTTTCAGGTGGGAGCTGACGGCCCCACTGCCATCCACATCCCCTTGTAATGTTGCAGGCTGGGGTGCTGAAAGAGCCTTTCAGACCGTGAGGACCCGTTCTTATTTTTGTGGACAAGTTTCTAAGGAAGCATTTGAATGCCCTCTCCTCTCAGTCTGCCCACCCAGTGACTACCACTGCCAGCTTTTCATTATTAGATAGAAGATGGGCAGATACCTCTAGGAACAGTCTCAACATTATGCCTTTGAGAGGCCCAGAAATCTCTGGCAGGAACTAGGTGCCTGGCATGACCTCTGCGACTCTCCCCCACCTCTTCCACACACCCTTGTAATCAGACTCTGAAAAACTCAGAACAAGAGAGCTTTGATGAGTGATGAGGTAGGCGGCTTTTCTGCACAGCCTTCTGTCTGCTAGCAACAATCCGATGGTGCTCAGTTTCAGTTCAGGTGAGGTTACTTCAGGGTTGCTTGGCATTGGTGTTGGCGAGGGGGAGGTTGAGTGATGAAGAAGGTGAGAACTGTATTTACAGGTCACCAGACATTGCCCACAAAGGACCAGGCTTGTGCTATAGGCCCATGCCTCTAAAAGCAGAAACGCAGAGATGAGGTTAGATGACAGAACCCCACCTGGGCACATTTTATCACGTATCCCTATTTGCTTCATAATTGGAGTGTTTGGCAATCTTTGGAAATCCTAGCTCCAATCCTGGAAATGCCTCTAATATGTCTGCACCGTAGATGAGACACTGGATCCCCCTGTGCAGCCCATAGCATAACACACCAGCAGGATATGTCCTTACAGCTGTATGATCTGGGAGTGAATTTGGAGCATGCATAAGGAAAGGCATAATATAGGTTGTTTGTTTTCTCTCATGATCTAGTGGGTAAGGGGTTGCCCTCTCAACAAACACAAAGGCTGGTGGTTCGAATGTACCAGCTGCTCTGAGGGGAAAAGACGGGCAGTCTCCTTTGTGATTTACAGCCTCTGAAAACCCACTGGAAGGTTAGCTGTGCGTCAGTTACAACTGGATGACAACGAGTAAGTGAGTGTGTGTTTGAGATTGGAATCATCGTCCCGGCCTAATGTGTTCGAACTCAGTGTGTGGGAGAAGAGAATGAAAGAAATGACTTCTGTTTTGACTTAGGTGGGTTTGGGTCATAACTTCTGCAGGCCATGTATTGCAGATTGTCTCTAAGCCGAAAGCCAGCAGTCTTTCGCAGATCGCTTCCGGTGGGTGCCTGCTACGCTCCTATCTTGTCAGTGTCTTTGATCTGTAACAAAGGAAGCTCTGGTAGGTAAGAACCATACTGTGATCCCCAAGGCATGTGATTAGAATCCACCAGCTGTTCTGTGGGAAAAGGATGGACAGTCTCCTTCTGTACAGTTTAGTGCCTCTGAAAACCCACAGAAGGGTCAGTTGTGGGTCAGCTTCGACTCCATGACGCACACCAACAATATCTGTAATAAAGGCATTACTGCTTTTGAGGCAGATCTGGCTCATGTGGAGTGGCTATGGCTATTATTCCAAAGGAAAGCTATTTGCTAGCTTTGTATGAAAATACTGGCCTGATCAGAATTCTGCCTCTTTACAGCATGTTGTTGTTATTGTTGTTGTGTACCATCAAGTCAGAACCAACTCTCTGGTGGGTTTTCAGCGGCACTTAATCACATAGGAGGAGATTGCCCATCCTTCTTCCGCGGAACAGCTGGTGGATTTGAACTGTGTGCCCTCAGGAAGCGCAGCTTCTTGCCACTAGGCCACCAGAGCTCCCTCTTTATGGCATTAACAGAAATATTTCTAACTCTAGTATAAAGGAACTGCTGAGGTGTTGATGAGAATGAAGCAATGCAGATATGCGTGATAATGCTGGTAAAAACTCTCTCCAAATCAGCCTTTCGAAGCTTGGTTCACGTGCCGTGATACCAGCAACTATGGAATCTGAGGCACAGTGAATGGGTGGGAGCCTATTTCATTCTTGATGGCTCCCGTTTGACCGTGGGCAGTTTCTCTACTATCTCTGTTAAAATTTCCTCCTCCTCACTCTGCGTCATGCAGTGCTGAGAATGTTTCTGAAATGATGAGAGGAAGTATTTTAGGCAGGAGCAGGCGCTCCAAAGCCAACCTCACTGGGTTAGGATGTCAGGTTCACCATCTGGTTAGTAGCTTGGCTTCAAGACGCAGTTTTCTCATCTTGAAGAAAGTAGCACCCACTTCCTAGGGTGATTGGCACATAGTTCATTTAGTCTCCAGTCCTATATCAGAAGCACAGTAAGTTACTCAGTAAGTGGTAACTCTGCATATGATCTATAATAAGCAGTTTCTCTTAAGTGGGGCAGCAGATTCCTGGTTCACCATATTCTTCTTTGATCTGACAAAGTTCATAGAGTTTTTGGAGGCCCCCCACTCTGTATGGTCAGTTTAAGGTTTGAACTTTCATTGCGATGGTGGTGGTGGTGGGTTTGAGCTCCCCATAATGACTACATGGAAGGGGAGTAGATGTTGTCATAAGTGGCTCTTGATCTAGGCATCTCCCTCTGACCGGTGTCCCTTTGTGTGCTGCAGAGATCCGCACTCAGCTCACAGAACAGATGAAATGCCTGGACCAGCAGTGTGAGCTCCGGGTGCAGCTGCTGCAGGACCTCCAGGACTTCTTCCGGAAGAAGGCTGAGATCGAGATGGACTACTCTCGCAACCTGGAGAAGTTGGCCGAGCGCTTCCTGGCCAAGACCCGCAGCACCAAGGACCAGCAGTTCAAGTAGGGTCCTCTGTGACTATTCCTTTAGAGGTGTTGGGAGGTTCAGTCAGTGGAGGCGGGGGAGGCTACCTAGATCCAGCTGGACTAGTGACCCAGATAATTCGGTGTCTTCACATGGGCCGAGGGCTGAGAGCCCTCAAGGATTTTGCCTTTTTTTCATAGCAGTCTTATGTACAGGTCACCATACCAGAAAGACCAGAATTGATGATGAACCATACTGATAATCAGCAAGCATGTTACATCTCTTCTTTTGTGCGGTGGTTTTGAGTGCTTTGTGTTAACGCCTTTAATCTGGAGAACAACTCTATATGTTATGTACTGTTGTTAAGTGCTGTTGAGTCACAGGCAACCCATAGTGACCCTGTGAAGGAGAGTCCTCAACGCATGTGTGTCTTTCATCCTCTCTCCAGTACTTACTGTTACTCTTCCTAATTTACAGATGAGCAAACTGGAGGTGTAAAAAGTTAAGGAACTTGCCCAGCATTACACACATGCCTCATAAAAGAGCTAGAACCCCTGCAAAGGTTGTCCCTTAAGATCTCAACCACCTGCATCTCTAGTATACATCTGAACTCTTCACTCTGTTCCTATCATTAATGCACTACTGTTTCATCTATAGCAGAGGTTTCTCAGGCCTGGCTGCACAAACGCAAGCCCATACTCCAGACCATTTAAGTCTTACTCTCAGGAATGGGACATGGGTAAGAAACTGTACAAGTCTCCCAAATGTTTCTAGTGAACAGCTGAAGTTGAAGACCACAGTCTACCTGATGCACTATTCTCAGATTTCATCTTCCTGAAGCATGTTGATGATCAGGCAGTTTCTCTGGACAAAACTTTTCCTAATTCCCCCAGTGCCTATGTTCTTGACACTTGAGACGGAGCCTCTTCAACATTGGTAATACCGAGGATGTTAGCACACCTCACCCCAGACCCACTGTAACAAGATCCACTAAAGTGATTGATGTGGTGTAACATTCGTATTTGAGAAGCTTCTCCGTTCAAAAAGGGGCAGACTTCTTGACTCAGCCTTTAGCCCCTCTGCATCTGTCCCTCATGTGCTTTCCCACTTGTTTCCTGTTTCTGGTCCACTATCTCTAAACAGATAGAGTATTCACTCCAATATGCTTTTCGTTCATCCTATTGTTTAAGCTCCTGCACACATTATGTACATTTCTGCATGTCTGAGCCAACCTCCTGTTTTAAGATCTAGCTCAGGTGCTGGCTGGTCCAAGCAACTTTCCTAATAGCTCCAGAGAAAGCATTGTATTTGTTCTTCTCTTAGGCATCAGCTTTCCCTCCTATATATTGCCTTCCCTTGGTGTTGTTCTGTGCTGTTGAATGGGAACTCATAGCTGGCCATCCAGTGGGTTTTCAGAGGCTATAGAGGTAGGAGGCAGTTGCCCATCTTTCTCCCTGGGAGCAGTTGGTGGATTTGAACTGTCTACCTTTAGATTGGCTGTGTAATTCCTTACCCTTGAGGCCACCAGAGCTTCCTTATAAGCCTCTGTACTTCGTCTTCCAGTGTCTGGATTAATATGTGGTAGGTAACAGTTACTTAGTAAAATTATTGAATTAGTAAATGAATTAATGCATTTGTGAATTAATACTAAATGACTCTTACTTTCCCCTATTTTCTGTTATTGTTAATCTCCTTAATAATACAGGGCACAAAGTATCCTTTCCATGCTGGCTCTGAGCAGTGGATATGGAGGTTAAAACTGAGGAGAACATTCAGTTAGACAATACACACTATCAGAGAGGATGAGAACTTCCTTCGCTTGTTTTTTTCCCCTTAGAATTCCTTATCTGTTTCCTTTTTATGATAAGCAATCCTGATAAAATAAATTGGTGTTATAGTATGTGATAATTGAAGACTCAAGGGAAAAATAATTCACTCAAGGAAAAGGATCCATAGATGAATTATTCTCTTCATAACCTCCTACCAAGTTTAAAACAGCATTGCTTTTTGTTGTTGCCGTTGAGTTTTTTGCAACTCATAGCGATCCTATGTACAACAGCCCTAAACCCTGTTCTATCCTGTGCCAGTCACATTGCCTCTGACACACCCATCCCGATTACCCCCGTCACTGAATCAGTCCACCTCATAGAGGGTCTTCCCCTCCTGTGCTGTCCCTCCACCCTCCCAAGCATGATGTCCCTCTCCAAGGACCCGTCTCTCCTTACAACATGTCCAAAGTATGTCAGACAAAGTCCCAGAATCCTTGCCTCCAAGGAGTAGCCTGGTTTAACCCTCTCCAGGATGGATCTGCTTGTTTTCTTGGCAGTCCATGGTACATTCAATACTCTTCTCCAGCACCACAGCTCAAAGGCATCAATTCTCCTATCCTCCCTAGTCATTGTCCAACTCTCTGATGCATAACAAGTGATTGTAAAGACCATGGCCTATATCAGTATACCAATATATTCTCGGTTTCAGAGGCATTTCTCTTACAAATTGAGGTACTATACACATGATAATCTCTAAGCCATCTGATTTGTTTAATTATAGTCACATATGAGGAATAGGGTGTCTTCTCCAAGAGAGAATTGTTTTCACTTCTGGTAAACTTGGTCCCTAGCTCCATTTCCCACCTCCTGGCCTCCAAAATTGGTGCATGCTTCTTGGCAAAGTATTATAAGAGAAAGTCATTGCTTATATCCACAGAGATTCAAACCTGGTTATTGAGAAGATATTTGAATAAAGAAGCAAGTAGAAAATAATTAAGAGATAAGCGGTATTAAATAGGAGATAGGTATGATAAGAAGTCAGTGATAAGTAAGGTATCATCAGAGATAGATAAAGAAATCTGGACTAGGAGAGCTTTCATGAAGCAAGCAGGTCTTCGGTTAGACTGTAAACTTGAAGAATTTGTGTAGGAGCGGTGAGAACAACATGTGCAGGTTAAGAGGAGGCAGGGATATTTGGGGATGAGGAGAGTAAGGGCTAGGGAGGGAGCCAGCTTCACTAAACAGTCAGCCAACAAATATCCGGAGCACATTCCTTATTGTTCCTGGGGCCAGACATTGTGCCTTGGGACACAGCGGTGAGCAAAGTACTGCTTCTTCCACATGATATTCAAGATAGAATGAAGAAATAATAAGCAAATCACACAGCTAGATAATGTCGCATAAAGTGGGGGTAATTAATAATTGTGAGAGGACAGTGCAAGGTGCTGTGAGAACCTAAAGCCGGGTCATTCTATTCCTTTAGCCACAACTTTATAACTAGTTTACTCTAATAGCTTCCCATCCTGAGCTACTGTACTTCTTTAACAGACCCTTTGTTAAATACCTGCTGGCTATTGGGCTCTGTACTGATTCCTGTGGAGACTCGGATAAGCTCTGGAATTTATCTTCTAGGCTAACAGGGAGAAGAAATATGTAAACAATAAATGTGAAAAGGGCTTTCAGAGTGGTATGAGGAAAATATTATGAGAGCACAGATATTTTTCAAAGCAGCGGGAAATACTGCTTTGGATTAGATAAGTAGGGAGGGCTGCAGAATGATGGATCTTTGACAGCCACATAGAGGTGCTCAGATGTGAGGCAGCAGCGTGTTAGTGAGCCACATGGGTTCTGTGTAGAGAGCGAGAAAAAATTGTGATAAGAAGAATGGATTTTAAGGTCAGGATGAAAGCTTTTGTGATAATCCATGCATAATGTGATAGCGAAAAATGGAAAGTAAAAGGAATGAATTAAGAAGCTAGTCAAGAGACTCAGCAAGAGGGATGACTGACTGGGGCTGAGCTAGAATGGTCAGAGTTGACTCAGTGACCAGTCTGGTAAGCTGGCACAGTTGAGGCATCCATGTTGACAGTGGGGTGTTTAGGGAAGACCTGTTTTGAATGATTGGCACTGTTTTGGGAGTGCTGGGTCCTTAAAGCCTTCAAGTATACCGTTGAAGACATACTGCTGAGGTAAGAAGCAGTATTCAGTATAGGAATGGTTTTGAAAGATATATAACAGTATATGAATTCAGGGCAGAGAAAGAGAAACATGTAGATCTAAATGGAAGACACAGAGCTTAGGAAAGAACCACTTTTAGGGGGTAGGAGCAGGGGACTCTGGTGGTCCAGTCCGTAGGGAGTTGCGCTGCTAACCCAGAGGTTGAGATTCTCGGGTTCAGTTCCACTACTTTCTCCTCAGGACGAGGACAAGCATTCTCCTGTGCGATTTCCAGCCTCCAAAAACCCACTGGAGGGGCAGCTGGGAGTCAGTTCTGACTCAACAGCATTGAGCTGAGGGGTTGTTGTTGTATACCTGCCTGCCATTGAGTTGGAACTGGCCTTCCAGTGGGTTTTCAGAGGCAGATAATTGCATGGGAGGCAGCGCATTCTTCTCCCACAGAGCAGCTGATGGGTTCAAACCAGGTGCCTTTGGGATTGCAGGGCAGCTCCTTACCATTAGGCTACCAGAGTTGAGGAAGTGGTCATTGTTGTTGTCTACCATTGAGTCGGAACTGACTCATTGCTGATCCTCCAGTGTGTTTTCAAAGGCAGTTTAATCACTTGGGAAAAGATTGCCCTGCTTTCTCCCACAGAGCAGCCTGGTGTATTTGAACTGTGTGCTTTAGGGGTTGCAGAATTGAGGGCGTAAGAGAAGTTAAAATTACCAAGGAAAGAGAAAGAGACAGGGAGGAAGAGTTGTGTGCTGTTTGTTTTATTTTTAAAACTAGTAAAATCACAAAAAAGTAAACTGTGATAGTACGGTCTGAGGGAAATAGTAGTGTTTCAGGAAGCAAGCTCTGTAAAAGTTCGTCCCAGCAATTTCTCTTTAATACTTGCTGATCATTCTGAGAGATGGAAAGATGACTAAAATAGAACTCCAAACCCAAGAGCATTTGATCTGTTGGAGTGAAATATATGAAATTGTTGTGGTAAGGGGTCCAAAAAGGTTGCGTAGAAACAATTTCTTGTGAGGCACCCTGAGAACAAAGGAGAGGAGACAACAAATGCCTTCATTATAGGGAGGAAGGTGAGAAGAAGCTCAACAAAAAG